TTCTGTTCGCTAGGACCATTCAATTAATATGATTTAATTATTAATTAAATTCACTTCCTTGTATTTTATTCGTATAATTTTATTATTGTTTTGCTCGTATAACATACGAAAACATACATCCGTAAACATTTTTTTTATTTAATAACTCAGGTTAGAAATTCGCGTCGCTAAAATCATAACATTTATTGAATCCTGAATCTCATAGATCAGACAGGTCACTAGGTCTTAACCAGTTTAGCAATTTTTTTTTAAACTCGTATGAACAAAAATATGCCTAAATATATAATTGTGCTTATGTATAGCCTTTAATTTTGTCTCGTTAAAATATGACAGTAAGAGAATAAACGTGCCCTAGTTACACAAATGAACTAGTTAGCGTCGCTAATATAATTTACGAGAAAATGTCTATTTTCGCACCACACAGTACAAACACTGATCGCAAAAGCATCGTGTTTGCAAACCTCGGTTTCAACCTAAATATTATGACACAAAAAGTCATAAATCAAGATACAAATTGACGGGTATACACGAAATGATTCGATTTTACCGAATATATTTATATATGAATCGTAAAACAGCGAACAGATTGAAAGATTGTGTTCTCAAAATTTGAGTATAAACTTTGTTCGTCTCTGTATTTTTTATGAAAATGTACCTTGCTAAAAGAAATTCGTTAATCATTATTTCTTTATTTACTTATTTACGCTAATTTTCTAAAAATAATAATTAGTAAATTTAAATTGTTGTGAATAGCTTACAGAGCCATCTAGCGCTGAGTAGCTAAAAACAACAAAGGGTCAAAATTATTATTGCTCTATTTTTTAATTATTATTGCTGTATTTAAAAAAAAATAGTAACTTATAACATATATAACTTTCCAAACTATTAACTTCATAATAAACTCGTTGAATTAACACAGATTTCTTCGTACAAATAACTCTTTGTACTTTGCGAACACAATGGTTTCTCCGGAATCAATTGCATATACTATGCCCTGTATCGACTTAGAATAATTGGAAAAAATAAGTCGCATACACACGAGCTGTTTTTATAAATTAAAAACTTAAAGCTTTTTACTTAATACAATAATTTTATAAATTACAACACCACAAAATATGCCATGATTTTTTTGGTTCGGATATTTTCATACGCATCTTTTTTTAATTCTTTACATCAAAATCACAATAAGGTTGTGCTTTTACTTTTGTTTTTATTAAATAGTATTTAGGCACAATAAAAACTGGTTCAGTGTGTTCTTACCTTAAGATTTAGATATTAACAGTCCGCTCCAGTATAGTAATTATTAGAAGGCATGTTTATTACATGTTTTATCGCAGTAGAAGTGCAGAATGCGCTCCGCATTGCAGAACTGTCCCACACTTATCACCACAGTTCCCATAATAAAAGGAACTCTCGAAGCATACCAATCACCCTTTATTTTTCACTGTAATAAGACTCAATGTGGGTAGCTACAAAGGTACAAAAGGTTTAAGACCGAGGAAAGTATGGATGAACTGTGTGAAAAAGAAAGTACGTAGTGTGTATGAAGGAGAAGGAAAAAGATTAGAATTTTGTAGTAACAAAAAAAAATCAAAAAGAGTTTCCCGTACCGGGAATCGAACCCGAGCCTCCTGGGTGAAAGCCAGGTATCCTAGCCACTAGACCATACGGGATACAACGAGTTGTCAAAAATATAATTTCAAAAACAAGATATTAAACCTTTTATTAGTATTATTTTAGATTTACTTAAAAAAATATAATTGAATAAATTATGTATTTAAATTTTTGCAAAAATGTACCTGTTTATTTGTACACCAACATACAAAATAACTATCAAACGACAGATGGCGTAAAAAAATTTCAACAAAGCGACATCTATTGAGGACATTAAACAACATTTATTAACAGCACTATGTAGCTACAATCCAGAAATTACTGGTTTTGATTTCGACGGGTAGATGGCACTAGTAGCTTGTAAAGAGCTTTAAAAGTTAAGATATCCTATTTAATTTTATTATTATTACTTATCAACTGCTGGCATTTAGCGCCACCAAGAATATGATACATAATAAAATCACCTTTTTAAAATGATAGACATTTTTGCCAAATTTACGAACCCTTTTTAGCTAAGATTTTAATTTTCTTATTGGAATAGAGCATAAGTATCCATGCAGTAACGGATTTTATTTTTTTTTTAAATATGTATATTAGTTTTAAAAAAGCGTTCTAGGCATAATTCCATTAACGAATACGAATATGTCTAGTACGTAACATATTGCGTGCAAACGATTAACATCATATCCGGAATAATAAAAGATATAAAGAAATGCTTCCGATAACCGACATACTTGATGCATTGTGCGTTTCAAACAAAATAAATACAGCGATCGGGAACGGCTCCATCATTCATTAATTTAAAAAAATTATATATATAGTCTACAAAATTATACGTATTTTTTCCATCGTTCATTTTATATATACCACAATAATTAATGACAGGATTATGCGTTTTCCTTAAATTATTGTTACTTTTGACATTATTAATAATTGCTGGTAGAGCTTTTGTAGTTGTGTTCTCGATTGTCCTCAGGTCCTAAGTACAATCGCGCGAACAAGTTTTCACGCGTAAAATAATTATTCACCTTAGGTACACTGGATATAGAGTTGATTTTTAAATATTTGCCTCAATATTTTGAGACTTATCCCGACTCTCTTCTGCAACAATGGAAACCTACCTTAAGACACAGTTACGTATAAAGTACGCTTACCTTACAGTTACAGAATATCGGGATTACGTAACGGTATAGTGACCGAATTGGTTTTTAATTTTTATTTGGCTCTTGCAATTTTATTGTATTGCGTGTTACCTTACAAATTATTGTCGTTGAAATTCAATATTTTGGTTACTAAATGGTAAATAAGGTAGTAAATAGTTACAACAAACTGACTTGCTAGAGCTATAATTTAGTATTAAAAAATAGGCACTAAAAATAGACTGAGCTATGTTATTTCGAAGACTAGTCTTTATTTTTTTACTCCAGTCCATACCATACTTATATTTATGGTTTTATAACTAAATTCATTATTACTCTAAAGAAAAATACGGTATGTAGAGTTAGAAAGAAAAAACCCAAAACTGTACCGGTGTACTGGCGCAACACTAGCCTTATTAAAATGTCGTTTATGTTCCCTCACTAGTCATACTGACACTTGATTTTGTAATGAAAACGCGCCATTTGCGTCAAAGGATTCTAATAATGTCTAAAAGTAGTTAATTGAAATAGATTGTAAACGTATTATAGTTACAAATCGTGTCTACGGAAGATCCTTCTATTAAAGGCTACTTGTAAGTTTTGTATTTTAAAGTTAAAGTTGCATCATGTAATTTAGAACTTATTTTTAATCCAATAGAGTTCAAATTTCAATTGATCGACTACATCATGTTTATGGTGAACACGTATTCTGTACGATGAGGTCAAAGCAAATGAATGTAAAACATCTGCTGTACTTGTTGTCTTACCGTGGGTTTTCAATGGAGATACATGTATTCAAATGATGTTATTATCTCGCTTGAATTAATGGTAATAAAAGGGATAGCAATATGTATTTTGTACAATTGTCTAGACATTGAAAACCCGTAGTTAAGTGACTACATATGTCGCATTTCGAACATAACTCTGCCGATTTTCCCATCACTTCTGATAATAAGGAAATGCCATAACAACCTTCCTTTGACAAATACATTGGACGTTTTTTAATTAACTATTAAATATATTTTTTTTTATTTATTTACTTAGTAAATAATCCATTTAAAGTTACGTATAAAAATATATTAATACGAAATGAGTTTATGTCCCAGATTTCTTGGAAGCTAACCGGTCTATGGCAATTTAATTGATTTTCAAGGCTTCAAGGCTTGTAGTTCAAAACAGAAAAATATTTAAAATTCTTAAACCATGTTTCAACTTTTTTATTCTCAAACAAATATAATCTTCAATTACAGATAAAAATTACTTTTGTCCAATTCATTTAGAACGGAAAACAAATTGCATCACAGTTTAGGGATTATCAAACCCATATAAAAGACGGTATTACAAGTAGATGTGTTGAATAATTTACCAAACCAAACCCACTTCTTACACTAAACCCTACACTAAGGCCTTCCTTTAGGGGCTATTTAACGAGTCTGTACGGAGGTTAAGTACCGTTAGGTACAAACAAATTAGTATAACATTTTATTATTCTAACATCAAATCACATTGTTCATGTTTGCAACATAATGTGGACGACGATAACAATTACATAGATTGTTTAGTATTCAGCTAGTAACTTGTAACAATGCATTGACATTTATCGACTAGAATCAATCAAAGTATTTATCGGTTAAACATTCCTTACTATGTTTTATTATTAATTTTGTTGTTGTAAATGATTTTAAATAAAATTTTGTAAATGATAGTTTTTAATTAATAAAATAATCAACCAGACTGACTGACTATGACTGACAGTCAGGCGATGAATACAAATCGAATGATGCCTCACTTGTCAAATCGGTATGGTTGTTTAGGCTACAGGTAGTCACAATAGAACTTATACACAAAGGAATGACAATATTTGTCAAGAAAAACTAGTAACTAGAGTTGCCGGAAGCTGGAATTCTTTAGCTAAACTTAAACAGTCATGTAAATTGTTGATATTGATGCTGTACACCATGTACTCTCCTCTCGTAATCTTAATTCTTACCAATATTATATATGTGAAAGTTTAGATGGGTATGTTTGTTAGAAGATATCTCCGGACTAGCTGGATGAAGCTTATCCACATTTGTTAACATACGTATGAAGGATGACTAGAGCAGACAGAAATCTACACTTTAATGTGACTCACAATTTAATAACATGTTTATACAAATCTCAGGTATATAAGATGCTTTATTATTATGTGGCGAGGTGAACAAGTTGCACAATACGCCTACAAATGGCGTCTCCTTGGATTTACCATTGTTTCATTACCAAATTACCGAGTAAATGAAAAATGGCATCTTTTATTAACTTCGAAATTACTCGAATTGCAGATGTTTTGGTAAGTATACATAACAAATACAGCTAGTAACATAGACATTTTTAGTATTCTCTATATCTTGTCTTGATTATAATTTTTTCTCGACATTTGGACTACCTTTACGCCTGATGTTTTCTGACTGACACGACGATAATTCGTGACGACTGATAATAATTTTATAAGGTGCTTAAAGTATTTTTATTTTTTTATACGTATATGTTCTGTGACGTACAGTACTATCACACGTCTTTATTACAGTCATAAAATAACCCAGTATAGTATTAGAATTCACTGAAATCGAATTAACAATTCGAACAAAGGATTTAGTCAGCAATTATTACACACACTTGCTCTTTGATCTTTAATTAGTTTAAATTGAAAATTATTAATAGTATGCAATTACTAATAAAGTTATTACTAGAATATGACAAAAATAAAATTATTAGTTGTATGCAAGTAACGTATTGTGGGCGATGTACACAGATGCTGATAAAGTTAAACGAAACGTTGCAACTTAGATTGGAATCGATTCTATGCACCCCCTTGCGAAACGGACAGACAGACTCGGACCCTCTGTCTGGCTGGGGTGGCCCGTGACCTTGATTCACCCTGCCGCGCCGTACCGAATTATATTAATTGTTAATACCTATGCTTCTCAACGAATAAAGACCGAATGACGCGCCTGTAACATTAGTGTTGTTGATTACATTTTATTGTTGTATAAATATCTGACAGGAGAAACGAGACTAAAGAACTGAGACGCTACTGGATGTGGCATTGGAAACGACGCGCGTGTTCCGACTCCGACGTCAGTCGCTCTTGCCGCGCCGTCTGCGCCGCACGCTCGCTCGCATCATGCTGTCGTTGCTTCTCCTCGCGCTCGCAGCCACCGCGGCCGCGCAGAACTTACAAAATACATCGCAAACTGCACGTGCCCCGACGCCGCGCCGAGAACAGTTCCGTGTCATTTACGAATGGAACGCTATCGACTTCCAATGGGCCTCCCCGGAAGAACGCGAGGCTTACCTAAATACGAGCCGATACATACCCCGCAACGTTCTAATCTCTGGAATAAACTTCTACGGAGAAAACCTATTTCTGACCCTGCCGAGGATGCTAGAGGGCGTGCCGGCGACGCTCGCCACGATCCCAGTGCGGCAAGTCGACACGGCGCCCAAGCTTAGTCCCTTCCCAAGCTGGAGCGCAAACACGCTGGGGGATTGCGCCGCCTTGCAGTTCGTGCAAAATGTTGAAATTGACCGCAACGGAATCATGTGGATCTTGGACAACGGACGTATCGGCACGCTCACTCAAAACCCCGATACGAAGTGCCCACCCTCGATCGTAATGATAGATCTGAAAACAGGCAAAAACGAAATGGAGCGCATACCTCTACCCACGGAGACGGTGAACGCATCGACGTCGTATCTCAACGATCTTGTCGTGGACAATCGCGACGGTGACTACGCTTATATTACTGACAACAGTGCCGTTGACCCAGGTATCATAGTTTTTCGTCGAAGCGACAAAAAGTCGTGGAAGATCAGAGACAGTAAGTCTATGTTGTCGGTCAGCGACGCTGCCGTCTTCCGCATCAACGGTACAACCATCAACCTGCCCGTCAACATCGATGGCATCGCCCTCGGTCCGCAATTTCTTACCGAAGAAGGCTACGTCGACAGGACCGTATATTTCACGCCTTTATCGAGTTTTCACTTGTATGCCGTTAACGCTTCAATTTTACGAAACGAATCCCTCTCGTCGACCGGTGACGGAGCGATACGTCAATATATCAAGGATCTCGGCACCAAGCCGTCGCAAACGGACGGCATGAAGATGGACTCGACGGGTACGTTGTTTTTCGGTTTAATCGGCAACTCGACTATTGCGGAATGGAACACCACGACGGACTTCCGAGTCGGTCAGCGTACTATCGCCAGAGACCCGAACTACATCCAGTGGGTCGACCGGTTCACTTTTGACGACAGTGGCAACATTTACGTTGTAATCAACAGGCTGTACAATTTCATTAAAAATCAAGTTTCTCTGGACGAGGTGAACTATAGAATCTTGAAGTCGCACACGGGGACCAAGAGTTACATATTCAGTCCCGACGTGACTCCGGTAGCACCGAGTCCGCACGGGGCGGCGACCGCGCCCGCTGTTTGCGCATCGCTGTTGCTGTTGGCCTTCGCGCACCTGTTCGCCTAGTCCCCGCAACACCTCTAGGTCGTAGATCTGCACCGGACGCAGCTACGACTCGAACGATTTCTTTACTTGCGCCTGAACTGATAATTAATGTTACCAAATATTTAAAGTTACCTTGACCCGAGGTCTTTCCAGTGAAAACGCGCAATGTAGGTAGCTTTTTATGTTTTTAGTTTTACTTTTAAGTGTTATTTATACGATGTGGAATGATAGAGCGATCTCTGTGAGTACTCGAAGGCGTGCCGAAGAAGCGTCGTCACGAACACCGTGTGCTGGAGCAAAGGTCGAGGACGAGTTGTCAAATACCACAAGCAGCTATATCGTGTTAACATACCAATCATATATTTAAGTTAAACATCGAAAAATATTTATTGTGAAAATTTTGTGATCAAAAAACTAATGCTAGGATCTCTCCAGTGTTTCCTTTGATATTGTTAAATGAGCCAAATACTAATTTTTATTATGTAAGAATAATATTTAACGATAGGTATACATTATAAATGTATAATATATGGTAAATAATGGAAAATAAACTAGATATATTGATATGTACGCCTGTTGGATGAACGTGACTGAACTGAATCGAAATAAACGTGTGTATCACATTAACGTGTTTGCAGTTTTTATTTCCCCCACGTCCGTGCCATTGACACAGTGTTAAGTAGCGGAATGCTGAACAGACAACTCAATTTAGCCTTGTTGATGTAGACAAGGACATAGTTTGGACGTTTATCAAATTAATATACCCCATGATAATAATATAAACTACTAATAATAAGTGCAAAGGAAAGGTTATCGATTATATCGTAGACGATATCCATGAAGAGATTGTCGTCATATGTATTTTAAAAAATTTCATGTTGTTTTACATTTTGTCTTACAATAAATGTCACGTTCTGCTAGACTTTTAATAAAAAGCATTCTTACTAAATGCGATGGATGGATGGATGTATCTCCAGAACAGCTGTATAAATCTTGCTGAAATTTTACACAGATGTAGAACAAAGTCTAAAAGAACACATAGGCTACTAATTAAGTGGAGATGCGGACGGAGTTGCGGGCGACAGCTAGTATAATAATCTTAAATTATTTAGAATGTATAAAATTATAACAGTAGGTATTGTTCCCTTAATGACTTCGTTATGCAGCAGTAATTGTGAGACTCATAAAGTGTTGTGATATACGACGCTATCGTTCACCGTTCTACTTGAAAACAAATTACACAAAAGATAATGAAAATCATACGAAAAAAAACAACAGATCCGAACAAATACTTTAATGTAAATAAAAAAGGTTATCAGATATTTTTGGATTTGCGCTTTTTTTATATCATATGGTGGCAAACGAGTGAGCGGCCACCTGAAATCGCTGAAATAGCAGCAGCAGCTAGAACCGCATATGCGCTGCCTACCTTTAATCGACGGAGGAGAGGATGCACAGAAAGAAAACATTTTCCCTTTCCATGCATCCTCTCATCCGGAAAGTCCACTTCCACTTCCCATCCTTTCCTGATAAGAAAAAGGGTGAGAAGGGAAAGAGGACTAAATTAGGCCTCCGGGACACACACTTATCAGACTGCACGCGGAATTGCTTCCACTTCACGCCCGTCTTCTGAGTGGTCGTGTTATTTCACCGGGCGAGCCGGGCCAATTCGTGCGAAGATGTTAAAGCCGGCTCTACCACTGTTAAAAGTCATTTGTGATAATACTTTTACGTCTTAAATAGTTTACTATCCAGTATCAGGGTTTCAAACCGACGACTAAAACAAAATTAGCATAACGCTAGAACACAGTAGATAATTAAATCTATTTATATCTTTAAGAATTTCACTTTAAATTGATTTCACTTTGTGATATGTAGATAATATAAAAAGTAAGTACCGAATGTGTCAAACACGGAACCGGTTTTTCTAAATAATTAATCGTACATAACGTGTTAAGCTATTTTCACCGAACACTTTTTGCTCTACATTAGACGGGGATATTATACGTAGAAAGTGAATGTTCGTCTGCAATGAAAGTATTTTAACATTTGACATTTGCTTTTTATTTAGTAGAGTAACCCTAATTATTTCGCTTTATTTGTGACTCCTTTTTCCTCTTTAATTATATTCCTGCATTTGGCATAACATTTCTTATATCACACGAAGGCTTTAAAAATATCGTGTTTCGTGTTTTTTGTCCTATCTGTCTCATTTTCAATCATTTGCTGTACATATTTAAAATAAGATTATAGTATGTAATGTAATCAGTTAAAATAATTTGATATATATATTTAAGTTTCGTATATTATAAACATTTTTGTATACATGAGAGTAGCGACTTCAGACATTCGGCTGTCGATTCGCAAAGGTGTAAGAACAATGGGATGATCGAATCGTTCGTCGTTGTCTGCATCATCGCTGTTAAGCCTCGCCTTGTTCGTTCCAATATACAAAGTCAGTAAGGCTGTTTTGTAATCAACAAGGAAATCATGACATCAACGGTTATTTTCAACAGCTGATCGTATCACAATGTGATCGGTTTACAAATATAATGACGTGTATTGATGCCCACGTAGATAAACAAAAAAAATTAGTGACAAAGTTCGAAAATATTAAGTACTTGTAGACAGCTAAATTATCATACCATAGATAACGACTTTACTAATATAATAAATGCGAATGTTTAGATGGATGTATGGATGTTTGTTTGAAGTTATCTCAAGAATAGTTGAACGGATCTCGATGAAATTTGGCATACATATAGATAATACTCTGGAAAAACATTATGATTTTTTTCATTCCGCGCGGACAGAGTCGGCGGCGATAGTACGTTTCCTTATAATTTTATTTAATTTCAAAGACAGAATAAAATGTTACATTCAGATGTAACCACCATAGTCTATCCATTGTATTTGTATATGAAACATAACTAGTATTCAATCATAAACGTTTGCACGTGTATAAATTATTATTTGGGTACTTGAATTTGAATAGTTTAGGCAGCAAACAGTACAATAAACATAAGCTTATATAATATTTATATATTGAGAAGAAAACACATCATGATATTGTTGTTTAATTTTGCATAATAAACATGTTTTCGTCTGTCTGTATTATTAAGCGCTTACAATCAAGATTCGAGAAAGATTTGTTCTGTTTTTATTGCGGTTTTCGTCAACAAGAGAAATCACGACGTGACTCTGTTATAGGGCGCGGTGTTTAACAATCGATTTGTCAATAAATTTAGCAAATAACATATTCTTAAATTACTTAAGTATATTAGACTTATTTCTACCAGAATGATTGATAAAAAAACTCTACTCGAAGTAGTTAAACTTATAATACCTAATTTGTATAAAAATGATTGTTAATTGTTTATAATATTAAACATATAAAATGTATGGGAACTACTGAAGATGCATATTATTTTTATTACACAATATCCGTGGGAACATTTCCCTAACATTACATACACTAGTCTAGAAAAATAATCCGCTTTGACTGAGAAATGAAGTTATTTTCCTAAAATATTAGACAAAAATACCAAAAAATATTCTTAAAATGCTGGCTTTAAGTAGTTAAATAACTACGAAATTTTGCAATACAAATAGTACATTGAGTTTTATGAAAATATACTAGCTGTCCCCCGCGATTCCGACCGCGCGGAATTAAAAAAAAAACTTAATGTGCAAAATTTCATCAAGATCCGTTGAGCTGTTCCAGCGATACCTTCAAACAAACATCCATCTAAACTTTCGCATTTATGATATTTAGTAAAAGTAAGATATTAGAAAGATATAAACAATATCACGCTTCTTTGCACGTGAATATTAATATTAATGTAACGATTCACATCTTTATTTATTACTTAACATTGTTTTTAATAACCTTGTTGTTTTGTCTAGCGGAACATGCAAACATTCATTGCGTTATTAAATGCACTATAAATATAAATTACACTCTAAAACGATAAAAACTTCTTATTTCCAATACACAAGCAATTGTTAATAATAGAAAAAACAACAAACTCGATTAACAATGTTCCTGAGATAAATTAATTAATCCGTTTCGACTCCACGTTATAAAAGAAAGAAATACTCATACGCTAATTGCATAAATATTAATGAAAAATAATGAAATATATATAAATTTCACGTAGGTAGGCTATACGCGCGTTTCCAGTGGTGAAACATGTTGTTAAATCAAATTAATAGTGATAGAAGTAGATGAAAATAACAATTTTCTTATTAATGTTTCGGCAATGAAAATTGGGGTTATACAAATTGGAGCGATGCTCCGGTCAAGGTTGCAAAATGGGTGAGAATTTTAGGAGACCTATAATCAGTGTAAAGTATGTTTTGATTCAATGAAGTATCAATATAGCTTATAAGTGGTAAAGCTTACAAGCTTCAACAGTGGTAGAGCCCGCTTTAACATCTTCGCACGAACTGACCCGTCTCGCCCGGTGAAATACCACGACCACACAGAAGACAGGCGTGGAGTGGAAGCAATTCCGCGTTTCGTCTGAGAAGTGTGTGTCCCGCAGGCCTAATTTAGTTCTCTTTCCCTTCCGACCCTTTTTTTTATAAGGATAAGGATTGGAAGTGTCACTGGAGTTTCCGGATTAGAGAATGCATGGGAAGGAAAAATATTATTTTTCTGTGCATCCTCTCCTCCGTCGATTAAAGGTAGGCAACGTATATGCAATCGCGTATGTCTACGGGCAACGATCACTTCGCTATTTCAGCGATTTCAGGTAGCCGCTTGCTCGTTTGCCACCTTATGATATAAAAAAAACTTTATACGTTGCAACTATACGGAAATTTAAACTATTCATGAATACTTCTTTTGAAACTTAAAAAAACAAACTATAAATACATTGTCATGCGACATAACGCGGAAAATGAAGTTTTTTTATCATTCATCAGTTGTAAGTTTTAATTGCGTGTTGCGAATGATATTATATTTTTTATTTTAATGAGGTCGTTATCAATAGGTTCGAATTGACATCTTTATTAAAAGTTCAAATAAAACATATTATTTTTTAGGGTTTCGTACTTCAAAGGAAAAAAACGGAACCTTTATAGGATTACTTTGTTAGCCGTCCGTCTATCTGTCAAGACCCTTTTTCTCAAAAACGCGTGAAGGTATCAAGCTGGAATTTATTTAATTGTAAAACGCGCGCGAGGTAAAGTTTTGCAAGGAATCTTTAGGTTTAACCAACAGAAAAGATTAGTAAAGAGAGAATAAATCAAATTTACCTTATATAAGTATAAAATTTTTACCTTCTATATACCAATACCAAAGTCTTTATATTAATTTATTAAGAAGCTTATCTCGAATCTATATTCATGAAAATTGTCTATGAATCGTTGTTGTACACGTTCCATAGACGAGTAATCACTTCATCTTATATATAAAATTCTCGTGTCACAATTTTCGTTCCCATACTCCTCCGAAACGGCTTGACCGTTTCTCATGAAATTTTGTGAGCATATTGAGTAGGTCTGAGAATCGGCCAACATCTATTTTTAATCCCGCGCAGACGGAGTCGCGGGCGACAGCTAGTACATACATAAATCTTTATATAATTATCTGTTTGTTAGTCTCACTAAAACTCGAGAAT